CCTCTGGTTTTTAATCTGCTGTTGTAGCTTCAAAGGCTCTTCTTCAGATTAGTTCGGTTGAGGGTTTCTATGACCCCTTTGTCCTGCAAAAAGTGACAATAACACGTAGATCAAGTCAGCTGTGCAGTGGCTGCTGCCTTCCCTGGCCAGAGACCACAGGAGTGGCCTTGCTACTCTGAGGGAAAGGAAAGCAAAGACACAGCGTAGGTCCAGTGGGTCCTGTTGTGCAAGGGCTGCGTGTGGCCTGGGGCTGATCTGCAAGTAGGATTTGCAGTGGTCGGTACACAGGTGAGACACTGCCTTTGTGTTGGGGAAGTGGTCCCGAGATACTGGAATCCCTTTGCCTAGTGTGTCTTGGGCAGGATGGTGAAATTATTTAGCCAAGGTGAAGAAAAACAGTATCCGACTGCATTTCCTGGAAAGAAGCTCGTTGCAGTTTAACCTGTCCTTGGTTGTTGTGTTGTAGACTGCAAACTCTGTATTGTGTCCAAACAAGGTAATGCAAAGTCAAAAGCATCCTGGCAATTTTAAGTTGAATAAAACATTAAAAAGAGAGGCTTCTACCTCTTTTTAACACTAGTAAGTAAAATTTTACCTGAATTCTGAAAAGGAAAGGAAATACCCAATGGTCTTGGATTACTGAGTCTTCATCCTCTGGGTAGAAAAATATAATGGAGCATAAATATGAGGAGGTGAATTCAATTTACCTGTCATCTCTTGGAAAGAAAGTCATGGGGAGCAAGGTGATCAGAATAGTCCCAGATTTGTCTGTGTAGAGTCTTATCCAGAATGATATCCAAGAATTTGCATGATGGAGAGACCTGTTCTGCGGCCATTACTGCAGGTATTACCCTTGCCTGTGTCTGCTGGGGACTGGCCATATCTTACAGTGAGCTAATACCCATCTGAGTTGCTTGCCATTACCTATGGCAATCCCAGACGTTGTTGATGTGTACCTGTATCTTGCTCCTTTTCAACTTTGCAGTGAGTCAGAAGAGGCTGTACAAGGTGACATTTAATCTGAAGCTGCTGCATATGTAGCCTTTGGACTAAATAAAAATTGCTGGTGCTTTTTGTGTGACAAAAGAGCACGGCGTCCAAGATAAACCGAGGAGAAGAGATCTGGGTATGCAAGCCTTCATTTAAAAAAGGCATCTTTCATCTCGCTGACAGTGAGGTTCCTGCAGCGCTTTGATTGCCCTTTAATTATGCCTGTTTTTCCTGGTTTGTTTGAAAGGCAGATCTTGTTAGAAAAAGGTTCTGTGTGGAAAGAACTTGGCTGTCTCTGCTGCCCTTCCTTGAGGGCACACAGCAGAGCTGCCAGATTAATTTTTTTTCCTCTGCATTATTAAAATGGAAGATGGTTTCTCATAGATTTGAGTGTAGGCACGGTGTGTTTCTCCTGAGTTAGGTGAGGAGTGGTCGAGTGGTTAAAGCAGGGTGGGAAGTCATGAGGTCTGGCTTCTTCCCAGGCCGACTTCCAGTGTGATCCTGGAGGAGGTGCTTTAATCCTTCTGCCTTCAGCCTTTCATTGTGTGCAGCTGGGCTGCTGCTCATCTGCCCCAAAGGCTGCAGGAAAGCCAACCTGGTGTTGGGTGGAGGAGGACCCAGAGCATGCTGGGATGAACATCACCAGATGTGGGGGTCAGCAGCTCATACCAGCTCACAGGTTTCATGCTGTTTGGTGTTTTATCTGAAAGCCTGCTGTTGTGGAGCCATTTTTCTTGATGAGAATCTCAACTTCCATTAATAATAACTTTTAATGCATGAAAAAAAGGGAAATAAAGCCTTACTTCGGTTGGAGAGAAAAGCCTGGAAATATGATTCAGATATATACTAAAGGCTTAAGCGCCAAGCAAATGAAATAACTTGTGAACAGGTTTATAATCCTTTTAGAAAATCTCAGTTCTAAAGAAAATTTTGGTAACTTTTGAGGGCTTGACTCATGTTTGTAAGTGCAGGGGCTTGACAATGCTCTATTTTTAAGTGCTGTCTTCATGTTGAATTTTGGGTGGTGAGATGATTTTTTTTTTCTTTTAAAGTAACAACAAATCTTAATATAGCTGAGAATGCGGAACTGCCCTTAGAAAAATAGGTTGGACACATGAAAAGGAATCTTGCTCAGCAGGCTGAAGACGCAGAGCAGCTTCTGCGGTTACGTTTTTCTTTCTTCTGGCAGTTTTGGGGTGGGGATGTAGCTGGCGCAGTCACTCAGCCTTATGTTTCTTTTCAAACGCAAGTCAAATCTTCCTGAACAAAAAGCACCTGGTTGAAACTGTTTAGCCCAAACTGTAAGAGCTTTTTGCTAAACCTCTTGTTTTTGTGGAACTTGAGGCAACCTGACATTGCTCAAAAATAGGAGTTACAGGGTGGGTAGGGAGAAGTAGATGATCTTTTTGAACTGAGGTGGCTTTGTACGAACAGAAGACATGCTGGCTCCCTGTTGCTTCAGAGAGGTGATTAGGTTTTTGTTGTCATCTCCTGCCCAGAGTCCCAAAGATTTAAATAGCATGAAAATGAAATCAGCTGCTTAAAGCCAAAGCTAATCAAATGAGGAGACTCTGAAGTAGGACGATAATCTTGTGACACTGCTTGCTAGGAACTGGTGGCTGATGCTGCATGTTGAGTCTGCTGGTGTCCAGTGGTGTGAAACTCTAATGAGGGATTTCACAGAAATTTTGAGGCTGTGATGGACCTGCTGGCATGGCTGCTCAGGCATGTTTTCTTAAAGAATGCGGTCATTTCTTCACACAGAAATGAGAGTTGTGTGTGAATATTCAATGTGGGTAAATAAATTTAAAATTTTAATTTAAAATGTAAAAATATGCAAACACCAGAGTTGAGGTTCTTTTAATAAAACAACCCCTCTGCTCAGGGAACACAATTATTCAGGCTGTGCATACACCTGATTACCTAGCTCTGAAGCTGGTGAAAGCAACTCTTCAAACTCCTTGAAGCTTTCCCCCAGGGTGTGCCAGTGCTGCAAGCAAAATGCCCTTGAAAAGTCGAAGGTAGCAAAAAGGGAAGGGGGTGGATAAAAGCTCTAGCAAAGCCATCCTTTGGGTTAGTCTGGGGAAGTCTGAGAAGAGAGAGGAAAATTATTTTAAAATAGTAATAAGCTGCGGTTTGGAATGTCCTTTCCAAAAAAGCCATCTTGCAACAACAGGGGTTTGGGATGCTGGGATGCAGGCTGGAGGGTGAGCAGGCATTGAGCTCACCTTCACTGCTGCTGTCCCTGCGCCTCGTCCTGGCTTGGGCCACTGCAGAGCAAGCAGTGGGGTGGCCGGGGCTGGGCTTCTGCCGGCATGCCGCTCTGGTGTGAGTGAGATGTTGTTTCATACGGCTCAATGTCCCTTTACATGAGTGTGACTTGGTGGGGGTGTTGCTGGCTCTGTAGAACAGCACCAGCGAAGGATGGGGACTGTTTGCCAAGCTGGTGCTCGCAGGGGCTGCAAGAAGTGGCATGTGAATCTTGACCATTCAGAGAAGTTATTATGAGCAAAGATGCTTATCTAAGCTATTCATTTTTTGTGTTGTTTTTGTTTTCCTCCCAGGCTTTCTGTACTACTGTGTTATGTATGGTAAAAAAAAAAAGCTTATATCCCTAATCTGGTGGTAGTTATTACATTTCCATTTCCCTCTTCTGTTAAAATTAGTAAGGGATGTTGCAGAACCTGTGGGATGAAGCCTGTGATAAGCACTTTGCAAAACCACAAATCCAGCCCAAACCCCATAGCTTTTCAAAACCCACCTTGAGACTTTGCAACAGCAGGACGGCTCCGGGAGGTGGCACTCACTCACTGCAGAGATTGTCGAATGGGTGCTTTGTGGTAGTAGCACGATAAGTGAGCAGTCAGGTGGTGGAACAGTATGCCTGCAAAATCTCTGGCAAGGTGCTTCTGGCTCCCAAGGCTTTAATTTTTTTTTTTTTTTAGCAGTGGGTTCCTAGCTTTATTCTTGAGGCAGAGAGGAGAGTAGCCACTGCAGGTCTTGGTAGCTCATAAATTCCTGGTAATTAATTGTTGCAGCTTTTTCTGAGACGTGGCAATAATGAGCATTGTCTCGAGTAAAGCCTGGCACACAGCAAGCCCATGTTCTGGATACAAAATACTCTGGTCTGTCTGTTCATATCTACACAAGGATATTTCTCCCTTCTCTTAAGCAGCATTGGACTTGTTCTTTGGTGTTTGGGGTTTTTCAGGCAGTTATGAAAATGAAATTAGATATGTTCAAAATCACTCTTAATTAGTTTTCCTCATAGTTCAATTTTTAAATTGGAATAATGAAAATATTACTCTCCCTTTTAATCTCAATATCAACAGGGTATTGTACGTCTTACTGGGAATATTCAAAATAGCGTTCATCTTTTTATGTGTAAAGCCCAGAAACTTTCACTGAAAAAATGCCATTATTCCTGTGTTTAAAGATAACGTGCTGCCTAATACTTTTTGAAAGCTTTTAGTATCATTTACAAAAAACCAAAACAAAACACACACACACACACAAAAAAAGCCCCAAGTAGTTTCAAGCCTGGGCTGTGCTCACAGCAGCTTATGTAAAACTCATGGAAAGCTTTGTTTTAACTTGCCCAAAGTAATGTAAATGTTTCGAAGCATCATTTTGTTCTTACCAAGATGGCAAAACACTGGGCAGTAAGGATTGGGTGTAGGAGGATTCCTGTTGCTAGAAGTTTGACATTTGAGATCTCTCAAGTGGAAATGTCTGGGAAAGAAGGGTGGAGTCTTCATAAAATTTGGAGAGTTTGTTGAAATTCATTCTGGACAAAGTGGCCTTGTCCCCTGTAGTGGCTTATACAGAGAATTAAGAATGTCATACTGCTTCTTGGGGATTTTACCTGATCTCTCAGAAGAAAGAAGGTTGTGCTTGTAGTGGCAAGGACCAGCGTTTAGGTCTCAGCACTCACCAAGTAGTCACTTGCTCAGTGGCCAGCCAGGAGTCTGTGTGTCACTACTGATGGGTGCTGCTTTCCTCTTCTACAGGTTTTCATTTCTGTGAACTGCCTCAGCACAGATTTCTCCTCTCAGAAGGGAGTTAAAGGCTTGCCACTGAATCTTCAGATTGACACCTACAGCTACAATAACAGGAGTAACAAACCTGTCCACAGGGCCTACTGCCAGATTAAAGTCTTCTGCGACAAGGTAAGGTTGGGTCAATGTGCCAGTGACCCTTTGGGAAAGGCTGTTCCACAGCTTAGCAGCTTTTTTTTTTGTTTTTTAATAATTCTGCCACTTCCTATTTTGGCTCACTGAAAACTCCCGTCTATATTCAGCCTTTGCAAGGGAAAAATTTCAACCCCTTCTATTTGGCTCATAGACGCTATGATGACCTCAGATAAATTTGCTGCTTTCAAAATGCTGGAGCGCTGAGAAGTGTTCCTGAGCATTGACTTTGGAGAAAGGTCAGTCAGTGACAGAAGACTGGCTGTCGGTACTCCAGACACTGGAAAGCCCTGCAGAGTGCCTTCAGTAGGGAGAACTCATTGCAATCAATTGGAGTAAGTGGAGGCTAATCTTTTGTCCAAGCTATATTGTGCTGGTCCTCTTACATTTCCTAGTATGTTCTTGCTGTGTTTGTTATTAAAAAAACCAACAACTTGCACATCTTGTGAACAGAAAATGTTGCTGTTTTCATTGTGCTTGTGTGAGACACAGCAGCATAACAAAGCCCATTTACAAGCTGGATGGGTGCTGTAATTTGACTGCTCTGCGTAGTGCATTTAGCACACGGAGTATTAGCACCTTTCCCAAAGACACTGTTCACCTGAAGCTGTGAAAGAAACACAGCAGGAGCTGAGCTGAAACAGTTTTAAAAGCTTAACTGAGTTTGCGACAAAAGGACGTTTTCCCAGTATTTGAAACCTGTTCCTATCAAAACAGTCTTTTAAAAGACCAGAGCAAGTAATGTGCAGTGTTACTATTTCCAGAGCAACCAAGATCTTTCTAGGCTGGAATGAGTGCTGCTCAGACTTTCCCAGGCCATCTTTTGATCACTGAACCACTCTGATGTCCTATTTTGCTGGCATCCTGCTTGCTTAGGGCCTCTCATCCTTTGCATGCAGGACTGCATCTTCATCACATGGACTCTTTGTGAGTGAGATCTCAAATACTTCTCTGTACAGTTGCAGGTCTGAGATGGGCTCGTGGCCCCCACTCAAGTGCTGTGCTGTCTTTGCGCCGGTCACATACTGTGCAGTCTTGCCTTGTCGTTATCCCTCAGGACACTACTGCAGAGATTCATCTCGTGCACCATTGCTCTGCCTCCACTTACCTCCCAAAATATATGGAGCCCTCCCTCTACAGTCTGCCACTGCTCTGCTGTAGTATCCCATTGACCCGTCCTGCCATGTTTTATTGTCCATCTATCTGCTTTTAAACAGGCCTCTCTGCTTTCCTGCATGGTTGGGAGAAGCTGCCTGTAGCTGCTGGCTAGTGTAGAGCTACTTAGTCATCTTCCTTCAAGTGCCTCCTGAGATGCCTCCTGTTGTGATGAGTTCTGCAACAAATTTAGCAGGGAGTAAACAAACGCTCACCGGAGCTGTCTGAAAGACTTGCCAGTAAGCCTCAGAGGCATGGATCTTACAGGCTTTCTTCAGGCCTTTTTTTTTTTTCTTTCTTTCTTTTTCCTCTTCTAAAATGAGACTGAGACAAGTGTGTCATTTAAAGCTCCTTTGTTATCTGGGAGTCTTGTGTGTTACCAGCCTGTGTTCTGTATAATACCAGTGAGTGGAGACTTGCTGCAGGGGAGGTGAGATCTTTTACTCGTAAGTTGTCTAGTCAATTACTGGCACTGTGCTGAAATTACCGACAGGCTTGTGCCACTGCTAGTAAGACAGATCGGTTAATAAAAGGGCAGATGTAGCCAGTACATAACTTAAAGGAAACCATTTGAGTCTATACCATAAATTTCAGGAAATCCGGTAGCAGAGCAATGCCAGTGAATCTTTTGTTTTCCTTTGGGATTTTAGCCTTTTCTTATACTTTATTCCTCCAGATACTTTGCAAATTGGACCTGAATTAAAAGGGGAGGGAGAGGAGAAGATTACATTTCTATATTTAATCTGACTGTTTGTTCTGTGAACATGCAGCCAATGCAGAGGTTGGTGCCCGATGATTCTGCAATTTGCATTTGTAGAAATGGTGTTGAAGTTTGCTGCCTTTCAGATCCGGGCTGGGTCCAGCAATGAGAGCTGCAGACAGAGGCCAACAAGCTGAATACTGTTTGTCGCTGTATTGAGTCAAACTCTGTATTGAAATGCTTGTTAGAGGCACTGGGCGAGTGCTCCTGTGAGCAGACCTCTCTCCTTGCAGCTGCAGGTGCTGGCTCATTGTGGTGGGTTGACCTTGGCTGGATGCCAGGTGCCCATCAAGCTGCTGTATCACTCCCCTCTTCAGCTGGACAAGGGAGAGAAAATAGACCAAAAGGCTTGTGGGTCAGGATGAGGACAGGGAGAGATCACTCACCAATTGCCATCACAGGCAAAAACAGACTCAACGGAGGGAAATTTAATTTATTGCCTGTCAAAATCAGAGTAGGATAATGAGAAAATAGAATAAAATCTTAAAACACTTCCCCCCACCCCTGCCTTCTTCCTGGGCTCAATTTTGGTCCTGATTTCTCTACCTCCTCCCTCCCAGCAGTGCAGAGGGACAGGGAATGGGGAATGTGGTCAGTTCATCACACGTCTCTGCCACTCCTTCCTCCTCACTCCCTTCCCCTGTTCTAGTGTGTGGGGCCCTTCCCATGGGAGCCAGTCCTTCACAAACTGCTCCACGTGGGTCCCCCATGGGGTCATGAGTCCTGCCAACAAACCTGCTCCAGCTTGCGCTCCTCTGTTCATGGGCCACAGGTCCTGCCAGGAGCCTGCTCCAGCACAGGCTTCCTCCCTGGGCT